CAAAGCAAATGCAACAAAAGGGTGTCTTGGGACGAGCACAAAATACATACTGGGCTGGATTTACAGTATTGGTTTTGATTTGTAACTTTTTCCTATGCAGTGGTAGCCCAGTGTATAGAAGGGTGGTGCAATCTAACCCACACTGGAATCTAACCTTGATACCCAACTAAGAAATCGGCTGAACAAAGCTGCGAAAAACTTACAGTGGGTTTCACTTTCCAAAAGCAAGTTTAGCATGAGCCCAAGTCCCACCTGACTTGAGTTGAGCACCAGCTGGGTTGATGGATCTCATTCTGAACTCTTACAGGTAAGAGCTAAGGATTGAGCTAAGCTCAGGCCACCCTCTTTTCTGTGTTCAAACCCTGAACTGTGCTTATGCAATCCACAGCACACTCTGGAGAGTGGTGGGAAGTTAGAGTTGCCTTCAGAAGACGTTTAGAAATGTGACCTGTTCCCAGCAACCCACACAACACCCTGTTCTTTATGTCTGTGGACAGATCGTGCAGAGCTTTCCTTTTAAAAAAAAAAAAAATTCCAACCCAACAACACTCTGAATTTGGCATAGCTGCTTTCCTTATTTTGGTAAACATTCCTATTGTCCCCTGGGGAGATCGCAGTTGTGCCCATGAAGACAAAACTGGAATACAACCCCTTCTCCACCCAGAGAGGGACTGATGAAGGCTCTTTCTGCTCTTTATGGGCTTGAAAGAGTCATTGCTCCAGGCGTGTCCTGCTGTGCCCTTCTCACAGCTACGCTCCTGCTTCATGCTTGCTGGTACAAAAACAGGGTGAAGGCAGGTTCCAGGATTCATTCACACACTCCCTCATTTCTAACAGACATCATGTCAAACATCTGTGAAAATATTAGAAATTTTAAGCAAAGTGAGCTGTGGCTGGGATTTTCCCATTTGTGGTTTGATAAGGAGAGAAGAAAACAGACACTGTCCAGCTGTAGCAGATTTGTTCTTTTGGTTACTATTAGCTCTCAATTCCTTTCTTCTCCCAACTGGTGCTGGCCCTTCATTACTATGGTCTGCCTGGAGTCCTTCACTGAGCCACAGTACAGGAGAAGAGAGGAGAAACAAGGAGGAAACACCTAGCTTGACTGTAGCTCACAGAAAGGGGAAAATTGCCCTTTGGTCTGTGTTGGCAACAAGTGTTCTTTCCATAAACTGCCCAGGCAAAGTGCAAGGGAGTGGACCACAAAAGCAGTGAAGGCTTGGGAGGGGAAAGGGGCTGCCTGGGCCCAGGGGGAAGCAGAGGCACCAACCTGATATCCTGTCTTCTATAAGGAAAATGCTTCGCAACTTGAGGAGCAAACCCAGTCCTGTGAGGCTTGGATCTACCCAAGGTCAGTTGCTCTGTGGGACCTCCCCACTCCTGCTTTCCCTCTGGTGAATGCAAAGCCCTTCAGCAGAACTGAGGGAGCAAGCTGATGTACAGGAGGGGAAGAGCTCACACACAGGCTGGTTCTGCAAAACCTTTGTAAGTCCATCCCCTCTCCCACACTCCGGTCTTTGTGGAAATGCCCCTGTGTCTTTGAAGGAGAGCGCATTCACTTAGTCAGGGATGGCTTGGGAAAACCACATCACCTGTGAATAGCTCCAGATGTGCCCAAGCCACTTGCCATCCCTTCTGCTTGCCTTAGGGCAACCACTGTGGTACAACGAACACATTGCTCTAATACATTGTGGTGTAGGACCCATACCAAACCAAGGGGCAGACCACAGCAAAGGCTCTGAGTCTGCAAAGCAGAGTTGGGTGCTAGGGGGGGAATCAGTCTCTTTAGGGAGAGAAGAGCTGTTCATGTAAGGGACCTTAATTTGTAGACACCCCATATGACAGGCCTTCTCTGTTAATATTCAGTGTGGAGGTGGGCTTTGGGAGCTACACCTCTGTTTCCCTTTACATACTGGTGGAGGAAGCTGAGAAGCAACTTTGGCTGGTAGATGTGAGGGCGGTTCATGCTGTGTCTCCTACCTCCACCCACCTGGTGCAGCAGCTCTTCCAACCTTGGGACTCTGCCCCTAGCCCTGTGCTGCTCAACAGGAGCCAGAGCATGCTTGCTTACTGCTTTCCACAAATAGAGCCAAGCTTCATTCTGTGTGACCATACAATTATTCCACCAAGCTCTAGCTTTTTAGGATGCCTGCTATTCAGATGGGGCATGTTTTTTTGTAATGAAATAAGCTGCTTTAAAATAATTTTGGCACAAATGAAGTGTTTGTGATACCATAAAAGAGCTATATATAAAAAAAGAAATCTCAGGAGGTTAAAAAAAGAATTGTTTTCCATATGGGCAGGCCGGCCTATCCACGTACCTTCCATGTACAAGGGCCATTATATCTCAGCAGCTCTTAATAGATATGAACTAATTAGATAGAGATAGAGCCATGTGTGCCAATGGACAGTCTAGTGATGTGCTATCAATATCCCACCCATTACTGTATCTTTTTCTCCTGGGAAATTCAAAGCATTATGCCCTGTGTACAGCTGTACCCTGTTTGTAATCTAAGCTTCTGGCCCAGCTAATCACCACCCATTAAACTCCCATTTTCTTCACAAGTTGCACATTTTCCAGATCAAACCCTGTGTCTCAATCGTGGAACAGACTGAGCTCAGAAATGCTTCTGTGTACAGTGCTGGAAGTGAGGGCAAGGCAGAACTGAATTGCATATGGCCCCCAAGGCTCTGAGATACTTAACAGACAGATATGTTTAAATATACATTTAACAAACATACTGAAAAGTAGATGCCCCTTGTCCCAGCAATCCTGATGGGACTGTTATCAGGGATGCTGCAGCTGCCAGAGAGCCTTGAAAGAAATTCCCAGGAGAGCATGATGCAGGATGACAATATTTCTGCAAGAATGTGCATTGGCTCATGGAACTTAGTAGGGAAATGGCAGATGCCATGGGACTGCTAATTAACAAAACATCAGTCAGAGCATTGAGTAAAAGATCAGTGGTAAATGTGCAGGGCTGTAGAGGAATTGATTGAGAATCCTCTAAGTTTCAGCCCTAAACAAGTCCACAGACCAGTGTCTCTACAGGAGCATGGAAGTGATGGGCCTCAGTAGAACCTGAAAGGTCATCTACAGCATCGCAGCAGAGCAGCTCTCCTTTTGTCCTTCTGGACACATCTGCCTAATGTTTTTCTGCCAGAGTCAAACTGAGACCGCCTCTCTGTTTCACATGCCAGCCTATGGTAAATACCACACTGGCCAGGTCTGACATGATTCAGCAAGCCCTGGCTTTCAGGGTGAATTCAGCAGCAGATGTAGCCATAACATGCACCTGCAAAGAGCTGTGCTACGACACAGCTTCCTCCCCTGCACATGTGAAACAGAGCATCCACTGGGAGCAGCAGCAGAGAGATCACACTTTTACAAGAGTTCTTTCTACCTAAATCTGGCACTGAAATATTCCCTACCCTTTGACTTTCAGCCTTAGCTCCTCTTTTCACTAGATCAAAGGAATGGTACACAGAATATTGAGCTGTAATTTGCCTCTGTCAATGAATCAGTAGAACTAATATCAGGCATTTAACATCAAATGTTGACAAACTTTCATAATGGCCTTGTAGAGTGAGTACTTTTGTCCTTATGTTCCTGATATGCCCAGACTGGGGGGAGTCAGCATCAGACCCTGAAGAGGCACAGGCAGAGCAGAGGTAGATTTTTCCTTTTTTTTTTTTTTTTTTTAATCTCCTAAGTTGTATTAAACTTTATTACCTGAACACGTAATTCTTACTAAGGCATATGTTAAGCAAGATGTTTTATTACATATTGTCTTACATTACTAAATTAGTGCATGACACCACTTCACTACAGAAGCCCAAAGCTTAGATTCTCAAGAACTCCTTGGCACTGGCAAAGTGTGTGTCTACATCTGCTTGCAGACAGTAAACTGTTGCTGTTAGCTTTTTTAAAAAATATACAAAAACATTTCTCTGACTCTTGGCTATTCCACTCCCCCATTTTTTTAACTCTTCTTAGTGTAACTTGATCTGGCTGTGAGTCTTTAAACTGCAAAATCTAAGCTCCCTGAGCAGCCAAAGCACAGACTGTACACACTGCCCTTTAAAGGCAAGGAGAATCTGCCCACGCTGCAGCCCTCTCTGCACATCCCACCTCACGCTGGTGATGCTAGACGGAACCTTTACCTGGCAAGCATCTCATCTTTTCCATCCATAACAGCTACAAGGCAGCTTCTTTTTTTTTTTTTTTTTTTTTTTTTTTTTTTTTTAAGGAAAAAAACGTAGCTCCTCTAAAAGGAAAGAGGAAGCCAGAAATTTCATACCATCTCAGTCCTGCCCCATGATGCTTCTTCCTGTCTGTGAATTTCCACCTGCCCCTCCTGCATATATAAGGCAGCACACGTGGGGTAGAACTGTTTAGTTGCCTGCCTCCGTCCAGAGGATTAGTAGCAGTGAGGAGTGATGCTGTTTCTCCGTTCCTCTGCAGTTCCCGGGAGGTGAAGGAGCTCTGGCTGGACTCACTCCTTGGGTAAGTACTGCCCGGGATAAAGTCTGTGGTGTCGCAGCTGGAGTCAGTGGAGTGCCCCAGATGCAGCTGTACAGAGATGTACAGAGATGTAGACAGGTGAGAGGTGTGCCCACTGTGCTCATGGCAGAGCTGACTGTCTCAGCCTTGAATCTGCAGTTTGACAACTGTACATAGCTGTCACCACTTGATCATTTTTTGCATGGATTGAAAGTGGAATGCTGGTGGTTTTTTTTTTTTTTTTCTGTTTTAATCAAGAGGCAGATAGGGCAGCAGGGCTGAATGCCTTCCAGAGAAGGGCTTTGTGACTGACTGATGTGGGATATGTTGCTGGTTCAGGATGGTACTTGAATTCTGGACTGGCTTGCAGGGGAGAAAGACAAGGAGGGTGCAGTTTTACAAAGCTTTTTCTTTGTCCGCTCCCTGTTCAATAAACAGGCAAACAAAAGGACTGAAGGAATCCAGAGTGTCCAGAGCTCCCCCGATCAAACTCCTAATGAAAGTGTTAAGCAGCTGTAATACTGTAAGTGTCTTTATTATTTCAGCTCTGCCAACAGAGTGATTTTGAAGAGCTCTGATTTCTAAACCATAGCATTCAACTGCTCACATAGTGTCTTTTTATTTTTTTGCCTAGTCAAAGACACTAAATGCTGGGAACATGGAGAGTTTGATTGAGTGCCAGTCGGAGGTAAGCAGCCACTACATTTCCACCGATCTTTCTTGGGTATGGATGTGAGATAGCAAAGTGGAGGTGGCCCTTGTAGGAGCTGCCGGCTGCCTACCGTTACCCATGAGCAGGCAGAGCCCTTTGAGGGCACCTCTGCGCAGCACTGTGCAGGGGCAGCTGGGCATCACTGTGGGCAGCCAGGGCATTCTGCAGGCTCCCACGGAGCTGTGCTCAGGAGAGGCTCTGAAGTCACCAACGCTCCCTGGAAGAGTCTGGGAGGAAATCTCCTGTGCCACTGGAGGACACAGAAGAGAAAGTTGTGTCCAGATGTGGCTTCTCTGGATCAAAAGAGCATGAAAAGAGCATGCCGTTGTGACCTGCTGGGCAGGTCTGGAGTGGCTGGCCACAGGGTTTACCACAAATCCCTGTGCTGGGCAGTAAGGCAGCATCACTCCTGGACTGAGGCACCTCTTCAGGAGGTGTGGAGCTTGCTCTGGTTATTTCCCCAAGCATCCCACAGATTTCTGAGGTGCTGCAGTGACTCAGTGGTGGTCCTCGCTGCTGGTGCAGCTCTGTAACCGCAACATGCTTCTTGCAGGCTGATGCCAAGAAATGCCCCCCGCTGGTCCTGGCAGATGCTGAAGATGGACCTTGCCACTCAGCTGGTGAGTTTTAAAACAAACAGAGGAACTGCTTCCTTATATAATTCTTGCAAGCTGGTGCTTCTGCAAAGCCACCCGAAACTACCCACTTCACCCGCCTGGGAGCAATCCACAGCCCTCGGCCCTGGAGTGCCACTCATTTGCAAATGACCTCTTTACCTTTTCCCAGTGGCAGAGGTGACAGTGCTGAGTACCAGAGGTCTTGTATCCCTGTTCCCTGGTCCTCAGAGCCACATTTCATTGTGTTCCCTGGCAGTGATGGGAAGTAAATGTGATCCTTTCTTACTCAAGCATCACCACTGAGGTGTGGCACTGCAAGTGAGTACTGCTACTAGTGGTTGCACACTAGAGTAAATAAACCCTTTTGGCAGCAGCAACAGCACTTGTTTTCTCTCACCATGCAAAACCTCAGCACATGTAAACAACCCTGAGGAGGTTATTAGCAGGGTAGGGTCAGATGTGGAGCAGGCCATCATATCAGACCATTTTTCAGGAGTATTTGAAGCAAACATTTTATATGATACTATAATGTTAAGTGACTTTCTCATAGTTTGTAACCTCTCCATACTAAGGACTTGTGCTACGCCACATATACAAGTCCTGAGAACTTCTCATCTGCATAAGTCAACTTCATTTTGGAGGAGAAGGCATAAGGTAACTCCTTGAGAAAGCTTTCCAGCAAAAGGATCCTTCTTTCACTGTTTCTGAAAGGGGGAAAAAAGCCACACCTCATCCCAATACAACCATTATCTCCAAATTCCTAGCATGTGCTCCTCTTTAAGAGGCAGATGCACAAGAGAATTCTGATCCTGAAACGAATGATGCTCCACTGTGATGCTCCCATTCTCTTCCACTGGCTGGCTGGCAGGGGACAAGCACAAGCTGTAGCAGGACTCCAATCATGAAAGCTGGCTCCAAAGCTGGCAGAGCTGGAGCCATGCATTTTCTTTTCAGCCTGTGAAAGAGGTTGAAAAGGAAGAGCTCTTAGTTCCATTCTTGCCCCAAGGCTGGGTCAGACTGCACAGTGAAAAGTCTTGTCATTGCCAGCTGCCAAAGGGACATATCTGCCTTAGTTATCACAGAAACCGCTGCAATATCAAAAATCTCTATAAATGCTGTTATTTTTGTGTCTTGTATGTTCCCACTCTCTAAGAAGAAACAGAACAAGAATGTAAAAAAAATACAAAACCCCAAAACAGGAAAGGTGGTGTCCTTAGAGAGCTGGTCACAGTTTAACTGTTTAGGCAGTTGTTTCCTTGGTAACCACTGAGTTGTCTTTCAGTTTCTCCCCATTTAGTTTGAGTTGCTTCAACAAACACCTCAGCACTGCACACAGATGAAAGGCTGCATAGTGTTCTTCTCTTTTCTTAAAAAAAATATTTTGTGCTTTCCTTTTGCTTGCAGCAGATGGAACAAAGAAAAGAAAGAAGGTGGTATCGCAATCCTTTACACTGAGGCGAAGCTCTACCAATGGGAGTTTCCTGGGGCAGCTAGACTCAGGTGTGAAAATTGCCCTGTTTGGCCAGCCTCTGGCAATTATCTGTGGAGAAGATGACACATTGCCCCAGGCCATCCAGGTAAGCAAGCCTGGTGGTACAGTTATCATACCTCTGGCTTCCAATGTGAGGCAGGATCTCCAGCACTTGTGCTGTAGCATGTGAATTATTTTGGTGTTTCCCCTCACACACTCTTCTGGTAACATCAGGACCCTCCCCAGCTGTAGAAAGGGGTAGGTCTGTGGTTTTTGTCCAGCCCACCTAACTTGCACTGGAAGTAACTCTGGGTGGAAACAACCCAGGACCAGGAATAGAAGAAGACCTACTCCTTAGTATAAATATCTGTGACCCTACAGAAGTAATTTAAATAAATTGTTCAACGGCATAAACTTCAAAGGATTTCTGTATTTCCCTGAAAAAAAGTGTGCTGCTGTGGACTGCCACCAGCAAATACCTAAACACTATTTTCTGAATAAAAATGGTCTTGTGACAGTTCTCCTGCTGAGTTGGCTTCTCCAATAGGCAGAGTTTTATCTCTTCTAAGCAACATTTGTCTGGCTTGAGAGAGAAGGGATTTGAACTAAAAATTAAATAATCCCTCATTTCCTTGCAAAGAAGGGACAAGGCCACTGAAGTTAGTAGAATACACCAGTACAAAAAGAAGGTGGGTTGGGGGGAAAATGAGGTTATTGCCCATGCAATCTACTTGGAGCAACACCTAGATACTGACCCAAACAGAGCACAGTATGTGTAGACAATTTTTTTTCTGTTTCTAAAGAAATATTTACCTACTAAAGGATCTTAATTCACCCAAGTAACAGTTTCCTTATTTCTTTCTCTCTCTTTTTTCCTGCAGGATCTCCTAGCTATATTGTATGTGAAAGGACCTTCCACTGAAGGTATATTCAGAAAAGCTGCCAATGAGAAAGCACGAAAGGAGTTGAAGGAGGATCTAAACAAAGGTGGAAATGTTGATTTGAAAAGCAAATCTGTGCACCTGCTGGCAGTGGTCTTGAAGGTGAGCTCCTCTGACCTGTGGTGGTGCAGAGACACTGCTAAACTGCACAGGCTCACTTCAGTGCCTTCTGCTCTGACCTTGGTGGGACTCCAAGCTAAAGCCAGATAAAAGCCAGACTAAATGTTTCAGGCTTAGGAAAGTCTGGCACTTTCCTTTTCCACATAATTTTCAGTCCCACTTGTGCTGCTGATTTCCTGCATGCCCACAAGAAACTCACTTTGTCCTCCTCCTCAGCATCCTCCCCATGGAGGAATCCTGAGCTTTATGGGTGATTGAAAAGCAGCTAAGAGCTGGGTCCCATTACTAAACCAATGCAATTATACTTAGCATGTACTTGTGCATTGCACTGCTCTGCCAGTGCTGATGGGCAGGTAGCTCAAGCCAACCTACCTCCCAGTGAGCCCATGTCACAGTGACGCTCCCCCTACACTCAGGGGTAGTGTCCAAAGCCTTACCTAAATCTCTTGGCCTTGCAGGACTTCCTCCGCAATATTCCCTCAAAACTCCTGTCAGCTGACCTCTATGAGAAGTGGATGCAAGCTCTGGAGAAGCCAAGCAAGCAGGAGAAAATTGAAGAAATGAAAGTGTAAGTTTTGCAACCAGAAGTTTGGCAACCAGCCCCAGTGTGATGGAGTGGCTGACAGGACACTGACATTTCTCAAGGTTGAGAGTCTCAGTTAAAGGCGTGTTGTTTATATCAGTTTGCTGTTGCTCCATGGAGTTTAGTTTAGAGGGCTCTAGCAGCAGCAGTTCCTGAAGTTGTTTGTGATTGCTCTATGAAACAACTGTTATAGGAAGAGAAGGCAGCAGACCCTCAAGAGGCCCAGACCCACACCAAATCACCCACTTTCATTTCTGTGTCTCCTCAGCTA